ACCAGCATTGCTTCTGTCTTTGCGCGCTAGTGACGCGCCAAGTTAACTTGAGTGTCGTATGGGGGGGCGTGGTCGGAGTTGCCGGACCAGCATTGCTTCTGTCTTTGCTTGCTAGTGACGCGCCAAGTTAACTTGAGTGTCGTAACGGGGGGGGGCCTCGGAGTTGCCAGACCAGCATTGCTTCTGTCTTTGCGCGCTAGTGACGCGCCAAGTTTACTTGAGTGTCGTAAGGGGGGGGGGCTCGGAGTTGCCGGACCAGCATTGCTTCTGTCTTTGCGCGCTAGTGACGCGCCAAGTTATTTTGAGTGTCGTAACGGGGGGGGGCTTTGGAGTTGGCAGACCAGCATTGCTTCTGTCTTTGCGCGCTCGTGACGCGCCATGTTAACTTGAGTGTCGTAACGGGGGGGGGGCAGCGCGACCGTTGCTTCGGGGTCGGGTCAGGATGCAGTGGAGGAAGCATTCATCAGAGCGCAGGTTTAGTGATGGGTGCTGGCTTTGCGCAAACTTCTGAAGCAATCGGGACGCATAGAGGAGCGCACGAAGACGCGTCGTTGCGGGGGGGGTGAATGCCCCCCCTCCTCAGTGACACCTCAAGTTGACTTGGAGTGTCACTCACCCCCCCTGGGCACCAACACGCACTGTCTTTCGCATTGCTTTTGGCACTTGCGCCTGGCTTGGGGATGTACCGAGGGGGGGTGAACGACACCTCAAGTCAACTTGAGGTGTCACTGAGGGGGGGGGATTCACCCCCCCCTCAGTGACGCTCGTCGCTTCCGTCTTTGAGGCAGCGCAAAGGCATGAGCAGCGTCCTCCCTCAACAACCCTCGAGCATTGCCTGACTCCTCAACAACCCTCGAGCATCGCCTCTTCTCCCCTACCCCCCCTTGCGTCCATTAGTTTCTCGCTCGCGGATCGGCCAATAATGGCGGGCATTTCAACAACTTTTTGGGGGCGAAATGGTGGCTTGAAATACATCGGCGTTTTTCCACATGGGGTGTGAAAGCGAAAGCCAGAAGCGAACCAGGATTATGTTGACCGTCGTGGGCCCCAAACAGTGAGTAGTGGCACCATGGAGGTGCAACCTATGTGGTGTATGCTATTTTGTTTGAGCTACGCGGTGTCATCTATGTGGTCTATCATGTGCTGTGCAAGGTATGGGGCGAAAGTTATGCGGTAGAAGCTACGTTTGGCAAACTATGGCGCCCGCGAGCGCCCGGGAGGCGGTGCGGGCGCGAACGTAGCGAGACTTTGGCGGATCCACCTAGCGCGCGGGGCGCCCACCAACGCCCGCGAGGAGACCGCGCCAGGACGTAAACACGAAAGCAAGTCCATTAGCAACACAAGTTTAACCACCTGAGCGCAATCATTGTTTCGGGAAATACCTCTTTCTCCTCTTCCGCCTCCCCGCGTCGCTGCTACCGCTGCTCTTCTATTTCCTATGTATTGAGGGTCTTGAGAACATTCCGCCAGCTGCGCAGATGCCCGCAACAGTACCTGCGCGTTCCGGACCTGGTGGGGGCCCGGGCGACAATGATTGCAAGGAGGAACAAGTGGAGGGCGGGCGGTGACGATGAACGAGGAGCAGGATGTCCCTGACCTACTCTATTTTTTTAGAATAGGTCGACGCAGCCAGCTGCCTTGAACACCAAGCGCGGCGCACCTTTCCGAATAAAATGCCCCCGAAACGAGATCACAGGAACAACCGCCAGCACAAACGCGAGCAAAACCATCAGCGCTGCGACCAGCGCAAACAGCATCACAACCACAAACACAACCAGTGGCACAACCACCAACACGAACACCAACACAACCAAACACCGCACGAGACATGCGACGAACGCCCCATTGGGGGGCTTTCGAATGATTCTAAAATGTTTTAGAATAGGTCAGCGCGGGCTGACGGCTTCAACGCCCATTTCTGTTGATCATTCCCCTCAAACCCGCACCCCGTGCCCGAGCGCAACCGCCAGCGCAGCCATCATCAGCAGAAACTGCCACGCAACCACTAACATGAGCACCGCCGCAAACACACACGCAAGCAGCAACGCAAAAACCTACAATACCCCTGGAGGCCCCCAAGACCCCAGGAGGCCTCCAAGAGACCTCCACAGAGTTCCCCCCGACGCAGACAGGACGCTCCAAGGTGATCAGGGCAAGTCGACTTGTGTCTGCTTTTGGCTGGGGCGGCGAGGGCCTGGACCGCCTTGAAATTCAACCGCCAAAACCTCGACCAGAGGGCTTGCGCAAGCACGACCACAAGTGCAACACCAGACCTCTTACCAACATCACCAGCGGCGAAACCACCGACACAGACATCAGCACAACCAAACATACAACGGGCACTGACCTATTCTGAATATTTTAAGAGTAGGTCGACGCAGCCAGCTGCCTTCAACACCAATCGCGGCGCAGTTTTCCGAATGAAGTGCCCCCGAAACGAGATCACGGGAACAACCGCCAGCACAAACGCGAGCAAAACCATCAGCGTTGCCATCAGCGCAACCAGCATCACAACCACAAACACATCCAGCGGCACAACCACCAACACGAACACCACCAGCACAACCAAACATCGCACGAAACATGCGACGAACGCCCCATTGGGGGGCTTTCGAATGATTCTAAAATGTTTTAGAATAGGTCAGCGCGGGCTGCAGGCTTCTATGGATTCAACGCCTGCTGCCGTGAATGATCCTCTGGAGCCGTCACCATACGCACGATCACAATTGCTTCCACAGCCGCCAGCACAAACAGCAACGCAACCACTAACATGAGCACCGCCGCAAAAACGAACATCAGCATCATCGCAAGAGACCTTCAAGACCCCTGGAGGCCCCCATGACCCCAGGAGGCCTCCAAGAGTTCCCCGAAGAGTTTGCCCCGAGGCAGCCAGGACGCTCCAAGGCGACCAGGGCAACTCGACTTGTGTCTGCTTTTGGCTGGGGCGGCGAGGGCCTGGACCGCCTTGAAATTCAACCGCCAACACCTCGACCCGAGGGCTTGCGCAAGCACGACCACCAGTGCAACACCAGACCTATAACCAACATCGCCAGCGACAAAACCACCGACACCGACATCAGCACAACCAAACATACAACGGGCACTGACTCCCGCGGCCTTGGCGTCACCGCGGCAGGCCACGCTGACCTAATCTGAAAAAATCAAGAATCTGTCGACAGCCCCCCAATGGGGCGTTTGTCGCATGTTTCGTGCGGTGTTTGGTTGTGCTGGTGTTCTTGTTGGTGGTTGTGGAGCTGGTTGTGTTTGTGGTTGCGATGCTGTTTGCGCTGGTGGCAGCGCTGGTGGTTCTGCTCGCGTTTGTGATGGCGGTTGTTCCTGTGATCCCGTTTCGGGGGCAATTCATTCGGAAAGGTGTGCCACGCTTGGTGTTCAAGGCAGTTGGCTGCGTCGACCTATTCTTAAATATTAATAGGTCAGGGACCCCTTGGGTTCATATGCAGACTGCGTCGTCGTATGTTTGGTTGTGTCGATGGTTGTGCCGCTGGTGATGATGCTGTCTGCAACATCTCCTGGCAGTGGGTCGCAGTGCATCATCAAGAACATCATCAGCATCATAATCATCATCATCAGCGTCGTCATCATCATCATCGTCACCATCGCCACCATCATCATCGTCACCATCATCATCACCACCATCATCATCGGCAACGTCATAAGCATCGTCATCACTAACATCATCGTCATCAGCATCGTCATCAGCAGCATCATCATCAGCACCATCATCGCCATCATCATCATCATCATCATCATCGTCATCATCAGCCTCGCCATCATCGTCATCATCGTCCCAGCCCAAAGGGTTTCAGCCCATAGGGTCTCGGCCCATAGGAGCTCGGGACACACCCACAGGCCAACCAGCCAGCCAGCTTGCAACTAAGCCCAAGAACCCCCACGAAACCTCAAGAGCCAACCACAGGAATCCATAGGAATCCGCGTAGACATCCCCACGGTAATCCATAGGAACCCATGTGGGCCCCATAAGAATCCGAAGGAATCCTCATAGGAATCCGTAAGACGCCCCATAGGACTCCGTAGGCATCCCCAAAATATTCCATTGGAATCCCTAGGAATCCCGATAGAAATTCCTATGGGAATCCCCACAGGAGTCCGTAGAACCTCCCATAGGGGTCCATCGACATCCCGTTGGGGGCCCCATTAGAATCGACAGTAATCCTCAAGGGAATCTGTAGGACACCCCGTAGGCGTCCATAGGAATCTTCGCAGGACTCCGTGCGCTTTCCCATAGGAGTCCATAGGAGTCCCCATAGTACGATCTATTTATATATATATGTATGTCAATAGCAACGCACACCGCCAACAACAGCAAAAACATACAATAGTAACAACAGCAACAACAAGAAGGCGGCCCGCGCGCGGCCCTCGCGACGCCAGAATGCGTGGCCAATTGGTCCAAAGACCGGAACAGCGCAAACGAGCGCAAATGCTTAAATCAATGCCAAGCCCGAGGACAGGTGCTGCTGTCTGCTGTCTGCCAGCTGCTTACGAAAGATGCCCAGCAGTCTTCCCAGTTCAACCCCGTGATACGCTGTAAAGGCATTCCATAACGAACCAGACAGGGACCCCATCATGTCCCGAAGCGCTTGCCTGTTCCGTATGCTGTTAGACCAGGATTCCATGCGCGCTTCCGTGGCCGCCTGCTCCATCTCGCCAGGGTTCTCTCGCCCATGGTCCCACATGGGGCGACCACTGTGCCGCCTGACCATGTCCCGCCTGAGCTGATCGCGGTCTGGGTCCCGCAAAAAAATGGCGAGGTACTCCACGCATCACTGTTGTCATGAAGCTTGGTCTACGTGGTCCTCAGATTCGATGTTCCAGATCCATTTGGTGCCCCAGCTCGTCATTGCTTCGCCAACCTCTCGCCTGCTTCTGTCCGGGTCTGCCCCTGGGACCACGCCCCTTGGTGGTCTCCCAATCAGTTGCTGCCCTAGCGGGTCCATGCTAAAGGCTCTCCTGGGCGCCCCCAGCCAGCTTCGCGCTGGCTGCCGCATCCGCGGCCTGCGTCTCCACGGCGCCGGTTGATGCTGCCGCTGACTGCCGCTGTGTCCTTGGGGCGGCAGGAGACGAGCTGAGCCTGCTGAACCCCCTCGCGCACTGGCGCTTGCCCCAGCGCTCGCATCGGTAGGAGGAGGAGGAGCAGGAGCACCCCCAGGAGTAGCCGACCCATCCCCGCTGGACACGGACGCCGCGTCATCCCTGCGGGCACCCTTGCCAGCAAGGCGCTGTCGAATCGCTCTGGCCTCGGCACGGAGCTTCTGGATGTTCTCCTCGCTTGATCCGATGATCGCCACGATGGCCTTCTCGAGCTCATTTGCCATGTTACCTCTGAGCTCCAGCCACCTGTTCCTCTCGACATCTTCCACCTCCAAGCCGCTGAGGTCGAGGAGGTCTCCGTCGACAATCCCCACCGCGTCAAAGCCGCTCCCGTCCGCAGGCAACTGCGACAGGTTGATCTGCGACCCTGCTGGAACCTGCGTCGCCTCTAGCACCGCTGCGCCTGGTGGAGTTCCGTCGTGAGCTCCGCCTGCCTTTCAGCCTTGGCCAGCACCGCCGCATGCGCCTCCGCCGCCGTCTTCTTGCTGCAGTCCTCCAGACGCCTCGCCTCGCCCTCCTGCTGCACCGCCTGCTCGAGAGCCCTCTCTGCGCTACGAGAGGGACCCCCCTCAGCGCTGATGGTCTCTTCCATCAGTGGCTGCCGAGGCTCGGACGCTGGCTCAGGTACCACCGCCTGCACCGGGGCCTCGAGCTCCAGGAGCCTTGCGTCCTTGCCGACGTGCTGCTGGAGTGCCCCGATGCGGCGGCGTCGACGGCTTGGGTGCCTCCATGCGGGTAGGCGCCCACGACACTGGCGGCTGCGCTGGCTGCCGCTGCCACTGGCCTTCGCCGCCCGACGCCGACCACACTCCCTGAGTCTTCCGCCACGGCGGTTGGACCGCTGGGACGAGGGCCGCACCGCACGAGTAACACTCGGCCCCCGATTTCCAGTTCCATCGGTAGCGACACCTCGTGCACGAAAGGAAGTGTTTGGTCGCATCCTTGCCCATCCAGAAACGCAGCCCGTGCCAGTGGGGCACAACGTACAGTATTGGAGTCGCCGTGAACGGGCTTCGCGTGAAAGCCTGGGCGCGGCCCAGGGATCCTTGGTGGGGGCGCACCTCCCCGCTGCCACTCTCAAGTCGTTGAGCCTCCCGCTAGGGACTTGAGCCAAAATGGCTACGGAGGTGGAGGAGGAGGCGGAGAAGGAGGAAGAGGAGGAGGAGACCCGGCGCCTCCCGAGAGGGCGCGCCCCCTCTCTCATGCCACCCCCTGGGGCTCGCCGCCGAGAGGAGCGGCCGGCTGGGCAATCAGGGGCCCGGCCGGCCGGCAGCGGGCGCGTCGCACCTCGATTGCACGCAAGAGTGGCCTTTCGCCCGAGTGACCTTTGGTGCGGGCCCCGCCTCCTCCTCCTCCTCCTCCTCCTCCTCCTCCTGCTCCTCGTCCTCTTCCTCCCCCTCCTCCCTGTCCTCCTCCTCCTCCTCCTCCTCCTCCTCCTCCTATCCCTTCTCCTCTCCCTTCTCCTCTCCCTCCTCCTCTCCCTCCTCCTCTCCTCCTCTCCTCCTCCTCCTTCCTTCTCCTCCTCCTCCTCCTCGTTAACGTCCTCCTCCTCCTCCTCCTCCTCGTAAACTCCTCCTCCTCCTCCTCCTGTTATTCCTCGTTCTCCTCCTCCTCCTGCTCCTGCTTCTCCTCCTCCTCCTCCTCCTCCTCCTCCTCCTCCTCATCATCATCATCATCATCATCAGCATCAGCATCAGCATCATCATAATCATTATCATCCTGTTCCTCTTTCTCCTCCCTCCTCCTTCGCCTCCTCCTCCTCCTACTCCTCCTACTCCTCCTACTCCTACTCCTATCCTTGTTCCTTATTAGAATATACTCCTACTCCCCCCTCAGGCCGGCAGATAGCGGGCGCATCCGGGTGGTCCCATCCTAACCTGTAAAAAAACAATACAAAATCAACATTTTTCTTATTTTTTCCTCTCCACATGGACGTCCTGTCGTCCACGGCGATAATCCATTGCAAAAAATACAACAAAGAGCACACGCGCGCGTTCATGTCAGAATCCTACCGAACACCGTGTGTTTGCAAGCATTTCAACATAAAAACATCAAAAACCCAATGCTTTTTTCACAAAAATTGTACAAATTTCCCGCCCGGGCTCTCTTGCTGAAATCATAGGAAAACCATAGGAATCTTAAGAATTCTGTCAAATCCAGCGATTTCACGTCATCGCGCGGTGCACTCGCGATGCTCTGTCATGCACCCAGGCCGCGAATCCTGTGCAAAAAATACCACAAAGAGCACACTCGCGCGTTCATGTCAGAATCCTACCGAACACCGTGTGTTTGCAAGCATTTCAACATAAAAACATCAAAAACCCAATGCTTTTTCACAAAAATGCTTTGGGGTGTCCTGTCAGACCGTCGGGCTTCCTCCGGCCACCTCTGGCTTCCTGCGGTGTACCGGGCCATTCTCGACTCGTCTGGCAATGCGTGCGCGGCATTCAACACGCGCTCGCCAGTTCCCGTCGGCAACCGCCATCGCGGCCGCATCAGCTGTACCAAACCGGCTGGCCGGTGTGACTTCGGCCCCCAGTTGTGCCAGCTTTGCTTCTTATGTTGTGGGAGGGCGGGTGGGACTGGGCATGCCATGCTTGACTCGCTCGAGCTGGCTAGCTTGACTCCTACTCCTACTCCTACTCCTACTATTCTCCTACTCCTGCTCCTACTCCCTCCTCCTCTTCCTACTCCTCCTCCTCCCTCCTCCTCCTCCTCCTCCTCCTCCTCCTCCTCCTCCTCCTCCTCCTCATCCTCCTCTTCCTCCTCCCTCCTCTTCCTCCTCCTCCTCCCCTCCTCCTCTCCTCCTCCTCCTCCGCCCCCTCCTCCTCCCTCCTCCTGCTCCTCTTCCTGCTCCTCCCTGTCCCCCTTCTTCTCTTCTTTTCCTTCTCCTCCTCCTCCTCCTCCTCCTCTTCCCTCTCCCTTTTCCTCTCCCTCCTCCTCTCCTTCTCCTTTCCTTCCTCCTCTCTCCTGCTCCTCTTCCTCCTCCTCCTACTCCTCCCACTCCTACTCCTCCTTCTCCTCCTCCTCCTCCTCCTCCTCCTTCTCGCCTCCTCCTCCTCTTCCTCCTCCTCCTCCTCCTCCTCATCCTCCTGCTCCTGCTTCTCTCCGTCCTCCGCATCTTCCTCCTTTTCCTCCTCCTCCGTCTCCTCCTGCTCCCCTCCCCGCCCAATGTCAAGCAGTCGGGAGGCGTCCCGGCTTGCTTGTAGGCTAACCTGAGAATGTTCCAAGATTTTGGTGTGGTTTGCACGGGATGTTTTTAGAACGTTGTTTGGTGAGATCGTCTTGTTTTAAAACATATCGTGTTTATGTTCTAAGATAAGTGTTTGTGTTATTAATTGTTCGTCGGGTTTAAGAGCCTGCCGTGGTAGGCCTATGGGAATGCTGGGGGCGGTTGGTCCCTGCTCAACAGTTGGTTCTCCCCCGATCGTTGAGCGCGCAGCACTAGGCCTCCCAGATGGGGTCGGAGCAGATGGGGTCGGAGGATCGTGCCGCATCGCCGATGCATCGGCGATGCACCGGCGGTGATCGCTCAATCTGCTTCACGCCGACGTCGCCGATGCATCGCCGATGCATCGGCGATGCAGAGCGATCCTCCGACCCTATCTACTCCGACACCATCTAGTAGGCCTCTAGAAGCGGTAGCAGCGGCTTGCGCGCCGGGGTTTGGCCTTCCTGCGTCTTCCGTTCAGCCGAGCACCAACGATCATTCTTGCCCAGGGTCGCCCTTGCGTGTAGCCGAGTGTGGAGGTGTTTTGCTGCGACTTGGCGCTTCGGCTGGTCTGTTCGCCCAGCTGCCGCTACTTCCTGAGGCACCCGAAGGACAGGCGGGCGCCTCCCGCTTTTCTGCACCGGTGCGTGCGTGGCCGATCGGATGCCAGCCCTTTCTTTTCGGTGGTTCGAAGAGTGGCAGCCGTGGGCACGACACTGCGGAGGTCTGCGTGCTCGCAATTGCTTCTGGGATGTGGCCCTTAAGTACGATGGGAGCAACCGAAGTCCGAGGCCCTTGCATCCGCATCGCGCATCCTTACTAAACGGGTTGACTGTACGCTATCCTGCGCAGGGCCCGGTTCTTCTCGCCGCCCGTGCGCCATCGTTGCAGAACCCCGAGTCCGCGAGGTCCCCCTTCTGGCAGCCACGGCACGAGAAGGGAAGCGGAGACCTCTGCACCGTCGACGCAGGCCAGCCGCGGCCCCCTGCTTGGCATCGCTCGGACGTGTGCATTTGTTCTCGGCGAGGACCATCGGGGAGCATCCTGGATCGTCGGGCCAGAGAACCACGCACGAAAACGACACATGCACGGGGAGTGCACGTCCGAGCGATGGCAAGCCTGGCTCCAGCAGCCTCGGCCACGGCCTCGAGGACCAGCGCGCAGTCGCCGCTGGCCTCGTCGTCCCTCGTGCCCTGGAGCTCCTGGGAGGTGAAGTTGTTGGCACTTGGGAGGTGCTTGCGGGCGCCTGGGAAAAAGGCACGTGCGAGGTAGCTGCGGGCGCCTAGGTAGAGGTGCTTGCGGGCAGCGCGCTCCGCGGTTCGGCGCTGGTTCTTCCTGATCCTCCTCTCCTCCCCTGCGGGGGCGGTGCGAGGGCGCGAAGGTACTCGCGCTTTGCGCAGCGCGGAACGCGAAGTTAGGCGCCCTTGCTTCACCGAGCCGACACCGAAGTCGAGACGGGCCGGGGCCGCGAGTCCCTGAGCCCACGGGTGCGCCTCGCCTCCAGCGGCGCGTCTGGGCCCCAGGCGCGCTCGCCAGAGCACACGGGAGAGCCGTCCAGGCCATTCCACCCTGTCGCGGGTTTGACGACGCTCTCCAGCTCCTGCTTGCCCTCGGACTCGTAGCCAGTGATGTGAACCCTCGTCTTTGGCATCGCTCGGACGTGTGCATGTGCTCCTGGCGAGGACCATCGAGGAGCATCGATGATCTTCTTGCAAAAAAGCGTACGAGACCGAAACATGCATGGGGAATTGACTTCCGAGCGATGGCAAGCATCACGTCGCCTTCGAAGCCGAGAGTTGTAGAGGCCGCTCCCTGGGCGAGTGGTAGACCTCGCCGTCGCCTCCGAGTCCCCGAGCTCCTCCGGTTGCGGTCGTGGGGGCTCGAGCGAAGCGCCGAGGGAGTCGGGCGCCGCCTC